TGTGTGTGTGTGTGTGTGTGTGTGTGTGTGTGTGTGTGTGTGTGTGTGTCCCACTCTGCGTCCTTGTCCCTGCCTCCTGGTAGCCAGGAGCCACCCAGCAGCCGGCTTGTGATTGGCCGGAGGAGCGGGGTTCTTGACACAGCGTGGTGCTGACTTCTCCGGGACGTGTTTCAACAGATGGTCGAGGTTAGAGTGTGTCATCACATCGGAGAGAGGATTAGAGGAGAGAGGTTGTCTTCCAGGAGCTGTGTGGTCCCCCTCCTCTCCCCTCCTCGCGCCGCTCTTGAAAGTAAAAACCCCAGCACCGCCAAGACCCAAAACCCCTCTGTGAGCAAAGGAAGATCCGGTGCAGGATAAACCCAAAGAGAAGGATCCCAGCCCTGCCTCTCGCTCAGGCAAACCCTCTGCTCTGCTGTCTTCCAGGTACTTTTCATACTCTTCGTTTGCCTCGTTTCTTATTATCCCTTTTATCCTGTTTTTTTTTAAAGCCTATATATTTTTTCAACAGCATTCATAAAATGTGTGCAGCAAATTTTTGCTTCAGTTACTAGAAGTTTGAAAGTTTTGGACGAGATTTGTAGTGTGTAGAGCTGTTTTTTCAGTCAGACTATGGTGTGCGTGCGTGCGCGCGCGCGCGCGAAGGATTTCAGTTTTCTCTGAATGACAGGAATTCCCTCAGTCGCAAATTCCTCCTTCACAGGGGATTARAGGGCAGCACATTCCATTAATGTCATTTTTTTTCTCAATGCAAAATCATTCACCTGTTAATTTTCCACTTTTCTGAACCCACAGTAAGAAAAAAGTGAAAAGGGGCTTTTGTAAATAAAATAAGTTTCTTGTCATGTTTTATAATATGGATAAAAACCTGAAACTGCATTTCGTTCTGTTAAAAAAAAACATGTTGAGGTCAACATCCTTCTATTAGGTAGGTTTTTGTTTTTCCTATTCTTTCCTAAACTTAGTTCCCCTGATTCAGCTCAGATAAGTTCTTTTTTTTTTTTTTGTTCTTTTCTTTTTAATAAATCTTATTCAGAACACACTTCTGGCAGATTGTGTCAGCAAACGCTTAACAGATGAGCTGCTGAGGAGATTTTTCCGCACAAACTGTCAAAGGTAAGCAGAGAGGCAGGAGCCTTGGGAGTGCACACCTTACTTTAGCCATTTGAGTCCAGTGAGAAGGCCAGTGAAGTGGGAATATGATGTATAGTATTTATACTTCAGGCACCGTGCATGTGGGTGAGTAGCTTGTAAATGGAGAATGTGCAGCTGTGAAAGGTTTGGTAGAAAGCTGCTGCTGTGTCGATGTGTGTTTACTTTGGTAAACCACCCGTAGGTACACTTAACTCCTTGTTACTTGAAGTCTTTAACAGCTCCACCGGCAGATTGTTCAGACTGACTGCACGAGGCTGGGAGAAGAGTTCACATGATGACGGCCTAAAATAAAGGCTAGCGTTCCTCAAAACAACGCATATCCCCTGCTGCTTTTCATGCCAGAGTTTCAGACTTGGATTATCTTTTGCTGACAAGCAAGGTTACAAGATATACTATGTCATATATGTCTCACGAACTGTTAGTGCTTGACGTATGGGCTGTGAATGACTCTCAGCTACTATCACAACAAATTTTACCTTAGCATCTGTAAAATTCATCAAGGTACAGCCATCTTGATTCTGAGAAGTTCGTTGAAATTTGTGGTTTGTGAGATATTTTGCTAACATACATGGATAACTTCTACAGGTAATGCAAAAATTATTTCAAAGAATTTGCACACTGTTGTGCTCCAAGTATTGTATATGTGGATTATGTTCAGTTGTGCACCAAAATTTAGCTCAATATCTGCAAAATTGTATGCTTTATAGACATTTTTGTGTTTACTAAGATTGCTGTGGCAGCTATATCTTGAATTTGATTGGCTCCAAAAATTAAACTATTATAGATATACACTCAACGATCACTTTCTGAAAGTTTCAATAAAATTTGCTAATATGGAACGGACCATTTTTGTGCACTCACCATATGCTGGTTGGCAGAAAGCAAATGAGACGGTAAAGAAAAGATCTGACCCATTATTACCCAATTTACTTATCCGATTAAGCTAGAAAGGCTTAATCATGAGGTAAGGGAGCAGCATGAAACTACCTCGTCATTTTGGCCAAGATGCTCTATTCGATCCAGACACGCTGAGAAGTGGATGGAAGGATGACCCAATCCACTGGCCAAACATTAATTACGTTTATACTTTGTAGGATCTAATCGAATCTCCAGGTTAGTTTATCGGAGTTTCTCTGAAGGCCTACAAGTCACTAGACACCTATAGGTGAGTGTTAGATTCAATAAACTTAACAGGCTAACTTTCTGTTGTGTTTTGAGCTCTTCCCTATTAGAAATAAATTGCACTTTTTGAGTCAGTTGTATTTTTACTATTTTAGTGTCAGTACCAACGTGTAGCAAGGATATTGCGAGCTGTACATATAGGAGACAGATCTAGGGCTGCAGATTTCATCTGCTCGGAAACCAAGAGTTAAATTTACCTGACAGAAAATAAACACCACACACGGCTTCATTCTTCACGATCCAACCAATCCAATTTCAGCTGGTCATTGAGAGCCATTTATTTCATCTATCTGGGTCTATTTTACTCTGATACAGCGCCAGGAAAATTTTCTCCCCTTTTCCCACCTATTTGCGCATCCAACCACAACATGGGATTGGATCCTTTTCACTTAAATTTGTGAAGAAGCAAGTGACCATATAGAATATATAGTGTGTTGTATTTCTGCACACCAGTGAAGTTTTTAATCAACATGAATTTTCCTCACTTAGCCTTTAGCAGTGGGTTAGCCTGGTAAAAACCAGACCCTTGTCCTTCACTTGGCTTCGTACGAGGGTCTGGACTCTCAGCTATAGAGAAGCGATTCTTGCTGTAGGCGTGGCCTCTGTTGAAGTTTAAAACGATTTGATCGGTTGGCCGCAAGTGCCAGCTCCACTGTGAAGGAGGCTAAGCTAACAAGCTAACCGGAAATTGCGTGCGCTGTAAACAACCCTACTAAGAGGAGAGAAGTACCGAGCCGAACAAGACAACTGTAAATGAGAGCTGCTGCTTTGTCAGATAAATTTAATTTAATTTAATTTGGAAGCCATATCAACACGGACTAGCTTCATTCACTTCCTCCACTGCCGTTAGCTAAACTAACTAGCAGACACTGTGCAGAAAATTGACGTTCTGTTCTCTGATTGGCCCGAATGAAATGCTCCCTAAGAAATCCTTGTCTATGGGAGAAATCCCAGACAGAGCAATGAAGAGAAAATAGAATTGAGCGGAACTGCATAGGAAGGCAAGGGCCAGGCTAGCAGTGGGTGATAATAGGTAGATTATTGAGATAAAAAGTACTTTTTCTGTAAATTATGAGGGGAAAATTGTGATATTTTTAACTTGACATGCTGGTAAAGTTTAAACATATACAACATTGTTTCTGAACCCTAAAAATACCTTAACCGAGGAAATATTCTCTTTAATTTAAACGTAATTCTGACAGTACACTTTGACTTAGTTGTTTGAAGTTCTATTATAAGGCTCCAACTTACAGTTTGACTATTTTTTCACTTTGTATTGGACCGGTGTGTTCACTTACCGGTCATCAAGCTCCAGATCATTTATCCTCCTGACCTACATTTCCTAATTGACAGAATTACGGTGTGGTTCCATTCGAAGGAGATGACTGTATTTCTGACACAGCTACAGTAAAACAGCTTGCCTATTGTCAATACACTGTCTGCGTGAGTTAAAGGGCAAGTCTGGAGAATGCTGGTAGTTCAAAGTTTAATCAATGACAAGTCTGATCCACAAATCCAACACTTAGCTTGAGTTTTACCCAACATTGTATCGATTTAATGACTGATTAAACCGAGGGCACCCAGAAGCAGCTTAAGAGTGTTTTAAAGCCAGCTCAGAGGAGAAGCTCGATGTTTTAAACAATCTTTAGCTCCTCTATGTTACAAATAAGAGCATAAGCAGCTGCTACAATTAGATTTTGGGGTGGGGTGGGGGGTGGATAGGTGTTTGCCAAGACAAACGTTGTTCCAGTAGCAGCTTAGTCATCATTCAGCTCAACTTAGGAACGTGTATTTGCTCCTATGTGAGTGTGAAGTTTATAAAGTGAAGGAATTTGTTCATCTGATAAGGCCTTAAAGTTACTGAGTGCAAAACACGGAGAAGAGTTGGCAGCATTTGAGATTTTAACTGTCCGCATTTATCACTTGAATGAAGGGAATTAGACTTTCACATCTCAATGTTTTTTTTATGCACGTTTTAAATTAATGCATTAGAAAAGGTTGATGGAAGTGGAAAAATTAAAAGAACTTTCCTTTATTTTGCATAAAAGTTTTAACGCTCGCTTGAGGTGGTTTTTGGATTTCCCAAAAAAAGTGTTATTGTGCAAAAGAGTATATGGAAAGACATTTGCTGAATAAATTCTGACGTAGCGAACGTTTACCTCATGTGACTGATCAAATGTTTCCACTGTCGGCGCCTTTACAGATATTCCTATAACGCGAAAACATGGCTGGAAGCAACAACAGGTCTGTGTGGACTGACAGCATGTAGCATCGCCAATCCTAGTTGATATGACAGAACAATTACAACTTGCTTGATAGCAACACATTCCTTAAACTTTCTCTCCATTGTCCCAAGATGTGTCCTTGCTAGTTTTCAACCTATACTTCCTGTTTCCTACAGCCATGTGTAATGTTGATGTCACTTTGCGTAGCCTGGTTGATTCGCTCCAAACCAGTAGATGGAAACACGCCGAATTCACATTTCTTTTTTCTTTTTCAAAACATTTTAAAAGTTTGCTGAAAATTTGCGTTACAATTGGATGGAAGCATAGCTAATGTAGGAGCTTAAAGGGAGAAGAATTTTTGATGACTTTTTGCTCCTTTTGTAAGAGAAACCGCTAAACTATTTTGAAATAGAAATAAATAAATAGCTCCACGAACTGGAAAGTCATAACCCACCGCACATTTTAAATCAGCATCCACTGTGCTTATTTAGGCATTTTTGCTTTGGTCAACCATTAACTTTTCTCTTCAGATAATACAGGAAACTATGGTAAATACCTTCAGTTTGTGTGTGTTCTGTTGTATGCGAGAATGTTAAGAAAAGATTTCCTAAACCACCCTCTCTCTTCTGGCACTTGTTTATCTCCAGTATAATGATAGCGTTCCTTGTCCCTGCCTGATTGCAGAGTAGCTCTGTAGCAGATTGCTCTGTCTTATCACTGCAAATGACCAGTATTTGAACAGTGAGCGTTTTGGCATGCTTTTATTTGTGTGGGATCAAAACCCTCAGTCTTTAGATGAGTCAGACACTTTCTCGGTTTCCTCCTTGACCCCGCCGATCAAATAAAGGTTTTGTATTTCATCCT